CACGGACAAACTTCTAAACAAGATGTTGATGTAATGTTTATGTATGTCCGTGTCTTTTGGCATGTTCATGCCTTGTACAACATGTATAGGGGCGACCGAAGGCTTAATAGTCTCATTTTAGTTGGGTTGGTGGCCTCTTTAGGCTTGTAAATAAAGGTTGTGTTATGTGGACACGTGCGAGAGATTCTCGGTCTGTAATGGATCATTTTACCCTTTGTTGTGCAACTGTTTAGAGCTTGTAAAGTCTATTTGTAATTTGTATTATCTATAAAGTGTTTTTCGAAGATGTTTGCTTGTGGATCCCGATTGAGGCATTCTCTCTAACCCGTTCTCTCTTTTGTTGGTCCTAAGGGACAATGGGAGGCTTCGGGGAGGTTGACCTTTGTGGATGGACATGCAAGGGTGCCGCACGACTTAGGCAAAACCAGCTAAGTCCGTGACAGCGTGGAGAGGAAGATCATACTGCGATTTGAGGAGTGTTATCGCCCAATCTATTGTGTGGATCACCGTTAGAGAGGAGGACATCTAACCTCCTTCATCCAAAGATTTAGATTTATGATTTCAAAGATATATGATCTCCCCTAGGTAAATCATCTCACACATGTTACACGATTTTCAATTTTACATTTTTTGCACACCATTCTTCGCACGACGATCCGATGTTCAATTTTTAGGAACATATTTTTATTTTCTGTTCTTTCGCTATGTATGTGATGCTACCCAAGGTTTCCCAACATTATCAGCATCCGTCAATATTTCAGGTTGGTGGTGTTGAATCTTGAATTTTGATGATGAAACCAATTGATATTGTTTATGATTTAATCTGTGTTTTGAGTGACACAGGGTACTTTGATCAGGGAGAGACAATTAAAGTAGGAAGAATCATGTTGGGCCAAAGAAACATGTCAGAAGATTGGACGTCGAGCCGAAGGATCGGTCGACGTATCGATAGAAGGCTTTGGGCCATGGATTCGGGCATCGGGCCAAGAAGAGTGGATATTGCGCTAAGGATATCAGAGTTGCGGAGATCAACTGGCCGATTGGGCAATAGGCCGCAAGAGAGGACGATGCGCCGAAGAATCGGACGAAGCCTCGATGGACCAATGACATGCCGGACGATATGATTCATGCTTATTAATAATTGTCTAGATTGAAGTATATTTTTATGTGTGGAGGATTAACTACGATAGCAAGGCATAAAGCAAAATGAAGTTCCGGAGTCAAGAACGCGATTTCGTTGGGAGTTCGAGAGTTTATCGGAAGTTTGAACGTTTGTCAGAAGTTCTACCGGAATTGATCGAGAAGTCCTGGAGCTTGCTAAAGAAGCTCGTCGAAACTCGCCAAGAAGATCATCGTGAAGTCTAGGAGCTTGTTGGGAGTCCGCCGGAACATTGTTAAGAGATCGTCGGAAGTTCGCCGAAAGACCGTCGGAAGCTCACCGGAAGAAACCAGACTTATCTTGCTTAGATTATGTCTTAGGAATCATAGTTAGTACATAATTAGAGTTGTGATTGAGAGATAATCTCATCAACTCTGTTAGGGGCTAACTAGGCCCGAAGTTGGGCTGGTTTGGGCCAGATTCAAGGCCCAACTAGGGTGTTGAAACCCTGGCCGGTGGTGGCACCGCCAGGGCCAGCGGTGGCACCGCTTGCGGAACATCACCCCAGGAAATTTGGGCGGTGGTACCACCTAGTACCAGATCCTGCGACAGTAGTACCGCCCAAGAATGGCGGTGGTACCGCCAGTACTTAGGAAATCTGGGATGAGATATTTTTAGGCTCCAAATTTAAATCAACTTGAAGCCTATAAATACCCCTCTCATTCCTGGTTAAAAAACATAAGCATAGAGAATTTAAAAAGGGAAAAATACTGTAGAAATCTGTTATGAGAATCCTCCTCTAGTCTAAGTATTAGAATTCTGTTTAGAGAGGAGTGTGTGTACTTGTAAGGGTTGTCTCCTAAACCCGGTAAAAGGAGAAGAAGGGTATAAGAAGGAGGTTGATCTTCGCCTATTAAAGGAAGATTGATAGTGGATGCCGGTGGCCTCGATGGAAGAGGAATCGGCGAAGTGGATGTAGGTCATGACGACCGAACCACTCTAAAATCTAGTTTGCATTTTACTTTGAGCAATTTATCTTTACTGCAAACCACTTTACCTCCTTACTTGCTTTACATTCAATACGCTCTTACTTTGCTTTCAAAGTTAAGCATTTCCGAAATTAGTTTTATCGTACGAAGAGATTTTTCGGAACCGATTTGAAGACATATTTTACCACTACACTAATTCACCCCCCCCCCCTCTTAGTACCGACTCGTTCCTGACAGATGGTTCATCTGTTTTAGGGTGACTGTTCTGATCTTGTGTTGTGCAGGGCTTTTTCCCCACTTACGGGTGTTGTTTCATGCGATTTCACATGACGTGGATTCTGTTTTGTATCCCTTCTGAGCCAGACGAAATCGCTTCGGGACGCAATCGTTTCTAAGTCAAACTATGTATGTGTGACTCTGAAGTGATACCACGTATGATCTAAGATGGTGGCCAATTAGGTGATACTTAAACATCCTCTATCACTATGATATTTTATTCATACTACTATATCTATATATATATATATATATATATATGTCTCATATAAGACATCATAATAATAAATATACTATTTTCAGAATTACAATTCCATATTAGGCATTGTTCCCACCCACGACGATGATATCACATGATTAGATGGCCCAAGCAGCAAGTGGTACAGTGCCTCGCAATACCTCCTTTACAATCACCACATCTCCGTTTGGACAGACAACTCGCACGTTTTTGTTTCCTGTGGACGTGGTTGTCCGCAAGCTCATCAATCACGCTATTTTTCGAGAACGGTCGCTTTGCCTTCTTCCGTCTTTTCTATTCCACCACACAACGGAAGTGGAGCACAACATATATCAACATATATTATTACTTGTTACTATAAATATTGATAAAATTGCACATATATATATATATTATATAATTAAGCTTAATATATATCATTATAAAATTCAACAAATTGTAACATTATCATTATACTTAATATTTATTAGTTGATTTGACAGTGACGCCTCAATAAATGTTAGTATTCTTCGTGACTCCCTTGCGGACTCCCTAACTTTATTTCATAATCTCATCCCTATTAGCTAAATCTTTTATATTTTGTTAAATATTTGATGTAAATCCTTATGATATTTATGAAAGGCACGAAATGAGTTTTAAAATAATAGATGAGAAAAAACAAAGGTACTTGGAACTTTTAAAAAATATTTTAAACATAATTTTCACAACTGATAACTAAATTTTTAACCGATGGGCTTCGTAGGGGCGATTATCATATTTCGTAACTGTGTAGTGGAGGATATGTAAACCGGAGGAAGAGGGGAGACGTGTGATGTCGCACAAGACCCTTTTTTTCGTCTTTTGAATTGAGAGTACCGGCTGGTTCTGGTCACCGGTCGAATTGAATCTTTGCTTAACCTGTAGCAGCAGGTCATCCGGAGAATGAAAAAAGAGAAAGAGCATCTCCTTAATTACGTCGACAATATACCCGTGGAGTGATTCAACCAATACCTGCAGGCAGGCCCTACATGAGCGACACTGCCTGCGACTATATTGACGAGTGACGGTTCGGCCGGTTATAAAAGATTATTTTGTGGTGTGGCCTTAACTTTTAGCGACACAAATTTGGACCCAACTCCTGACCCACCTCAACTTCCCCCGATTCTTCTTTATGCGTCTCTTTTATATTTTTCGCATTCTCCTCGTAACAAAGGAGACGCCTACCTCTTTCTCTCCACCCCCAAATCTAGGGCTTACTCTTCTCAGCCTTCTCTCTTCCTCTTGGGCCTCACCGCCGCCACTGCCCAAGCTGTTCTTTCAGTTGCTCGGCCACCATTCTGCGCTGGACGAACTCGCCCGCTTCCGTGGAATCTGTGGGTTTTCGGTCCTGTCGGAGCTATCCTCGTAGCTCGATCCGCTAGCTAAGTCGGAGATGTTCTGGCGAATTCCCAACCTCCCCGCCTCGTCTCCGGTAAGTTGCGCGCTCGCGCGTACATCCGCCGATTTTATATCTGTCGCTTCCGTGACGAATTGGGTGGCTTATTTTCTTTTGTTTTCTTGTGTTGTTTGTTGATTCGCTGGCTTGGTCATGCTAACTTTAAGCATACTCAGTTTCTCTGTTGTCTTATCTAATCACCTTTGCTCGTCGTAGCGGCATCCATCTCAAACTTGGTCCAATTTTCCGCAACTTCGTTAGCATTCTGACTCATGATATTTTCTAAGCGTTTGCAGCGGTTCTGAATAGTATTAAATTCTGGATGGTATTATAATAGCTGCACAGATGCCATATTCTCTTGATTTTGGTGTTTGATTCTAAAACAAAAGAAATTTCTCCGTTAAAATTTATTATCTTGGAATGAATACAAGTGTTGCATCCTTTCCTGCTGAGTCTTTTTTGTTTGTTTTTCTTTTAAACATAACAACGATTTTAAATTGAGCCAATATTTCGTACCAGAACCTTGCAAAAATGTTTGTGGGCCTACGCATTGAGGGCACCATGCTCATAGATGGAAGTAGACCCTGCATTTATGATTCTTGAAAATCTTGGGTTGCTCATGAGGGCATGACCTAATGGTAGCGTAGAAGACCACGCTGCATGTTTGGTGCCTAGCCTACTTAACATTCTTCTGTCGTTAGCTTGTCAAGCAAATTTAAACATTCTGTTAGTTACTGTTTTGAAAGAATATATCATTTGATATCTTCTCTAATCAGGTCACAGACTTACTTTTGTTTCTGTTGCCAATTCTGCAGGTGGAATTTATCTTGGATAAGGATAGCTTCACCTTGGAAGAACTTCTGGATGAAGAAGAAATAATTCAAGAATGCAAAGCTTTAAACACACGACTTATTAATTTGTAATATTCATCGTTGCATACATATTACTAATGTGGTGTTGTAATTAAATTTTTTTGACAAAAAGTGGCTGTAATATCATGTAATGATGCTCATAAAACCAAATCAAGTTTCTATATTAACTGCATAATTAGGCGGGATTTGTAACTGGGATGTTTCTCCTCTCCATATGATGTTGGGTTGGGGTTGTGAATCATTGCATAATTATCTTTAATGCAATTGATCTAAGCACTTCCTTGAAACTCATGTTTCTTTCAAAGTTTTTTCCTTTTGGGAGGTCCATGTATAAAAAAAAGATAATAGTAGTGTTCACAAGGTGGTAACTTTGATCAAAAAATTCTTTTGAGTGTCCACACATAGTATTGAGTTCTCTGTATGATGGAATCATGAATTACTTTTACTAAACTTTTGTGAATCTCAGATTTAGAGTCCTTTAACATCTGTACTAGTTTCCTCATAAGTGCTCTTCATTTGCTTTCAGTCTTAGAGATCGTGCTCAGGTAGAACAGTTGGTCCAGTATATTATTGAAGATCCTCCTGAAGATGTGGATAGCAAGCACTCCTATAAGTATGTTCCATTGTCAAATAAAGTTGTTTTGCTTGTCATTTGTTAATTAAGAAATAATTTCAATTCCTTTTCTTTTTCTTGCTCAATTTTTGAGCTTATTAATTACAAGGGCTACTTTTTTTTCTTTGGCCTTTGTCTCCTGAATGATATAGGTTCCCATTGATCGCCTGCGAGATATTTACTTGTGAAATAGATGTCATTCTGAAAACCTTGGTGGAAGATGAAGATGTAAGTTACTGCACATTAATGATATTCATCTACCCTCCTTGGCACATGAAATTTTTAGTTTGTTTACTTTTACTATATTTTTTGTTACTGCAGCTGATGAACAGGCTTTTCTCATTTCTTGAACCAAATCATACACATAATTCAATGTTAGCTGGGTACTTTAGCAAGGTCTGTGACTATTGCTGCTTAGTATTTTATATTTTAATGTAACAGTCAGGGCCAGAATTTGTTGGACTTGATTTGATTAAATAGCTGATTGCAATCTCATGTTATTTGCTAGGTTGTGGTGTGCCTGATGTTTAGGAAGACCACTTCTCTTATGATGTATGTTCAAGTAAGTTTCACTTTCATTGCTTTGTCTGGAAATGTTATTCACAAAAATGGCTCATTATTTTGGTTCCTGGTTTTTGTTGTTATCTATTTTTTTTGGTTTTGCTTTAAAATGTTAGCTTCAATCTGTGGAAGGCTTGACAACTTTAGTCATTAGGGATTCATCTAGATGACTTTTTACCTTTATTTTTTTTATTTGTGCAGAATATTAGTTGTTATATGAAATGTAGGTCAGTAAGTTTGATGTCTGTAGGTTGAGATTAGCAAGTCACAGTCTTTAGAATTCTGATTTTCACAGTTGAAACTATAATTGTTGTCAACATTTTGAATTAGAATTACACAGGTCATTAAGAATACATTCTCTTTTGCTTTACACAAGTTTTATGCTTGCTGTAGTGAGGTTTTATGCAATCTTTGTGCTATCTGTGCTGATTTATTCTCTGGATTCTTTTGCATCAGACCCATGAAGCTGTCTTCCACCATTTGGTTGATTTAATAGGTATAACATCGATTATGGAGGTTAGTGCTTAATGCTAAGTCTTAACTGTCTCTGTACCTTTTATCTTAGTCTTCAACATCCAATATATCTGCATTATATTGGTCAGCTTCTGTTTTTCAAGGCAATTAATTCATAATAAAGTTGGTCTGTAGTAAATACATGTCTGGCTTTTTTAATCATCATTATTATTGTCTTTAATATCTTGATGAGTGAATGCCTTCTTAATTCCTATTATATCCTTTAGATCTTGATTATTGATGTCTTGTATAGCTTACTGAGTAAATGATTTCCAATTTGATGTTCTTATTAGTTACTATGCAGTATACTGCCACAGTTTTAAACCAAATAAGTTCTTGCTGTCTGATATTCTTTCATCTTTGTGATTGTGCTTCCATTTTTTCGTTTCTGCTTTTACCCGGGTTGAAGATGATAATCCAATTTGTGTCTTTGTTTGTCTTTTTTCAGATCTTGATTCATCTTGTTGGTGCTGACAATCAGACATATCCAAACTACATGGATATCATGCAGTGGTTGGCAGATACCAATCTTCCTGAGATGATCGTGGATAAATTGAGTCCATCAGTAAGTGCTTTGCTGCACACCATCTTTCCTTCATGTCGAAGCATTTTAATAATACAATAGGTCACTAAGTCATATGCATATACTTTTGACCAAATTCTCCATTTGTTCGGGTTATGATCATGTAGCTTATTTGCTATTCTGTGAACTATAGTTTCAGATTTGGACTGAGTGGCATCCTGGCCAAGTCTTAGGACATTAGATCACTGGTCAGGGTCAGATAGCATTTTTAACTGAACATATAAAAAATGAAATATTAATATATAGGGATACAATAATATCAATTAGGATAGGAAAAACTACATGTCAAGAGTTATGGCTCTACCAAGGTATAGGACAGCAACTTAGGGCTTGATTCTAAAGTCATCTGTTTTTTACTTTTTTCCTACTCTTTTTATTAAAAATATCCTAAAGGACAAAGTGGCCACAACCAATGACAGTTACAAACAGGACAAAGGTGGAATTTTTAATTATTTTTGGGGGCATTGCAAAGCCAGCTTTGTCTTGTTTGGATTGGTCAGTTTTTCTGGATTGTAAAAGGTTGGTTTGTTGAACCTGATTCAGTCCTTTTTAAAAGAAATTTACATTATGGATCTTGTAGCCAAACTATATCAAACTGGGGTCTAGTTCTCCATTATCCTGGTTGGACCTGCATGTTTGGTCTTATTTAAACTGCTGTGGTGTTGTCAATCACGTTGTGTCCAAAATTCCTAGATTGTCCTTAAAACTAGAACAAGGGTCTAGTTCTGGTTATCCTGTTTGAACCCATGTGTTTGATCTTATATAAACTGCTGTGGTGTTGTCAGTCATGTTGTGTCCAAAATTCCTAGAGTGTCCTTAAAACTCCCATTAGGTTTTAACTGTCAGCGTGTAGCTGGAAGTATGTTGCTGAAAGAGATACTGTTAATTTTCAAGTTTTTTCTTTCTGTTTATCATCAAATTCCATCTCATACTTTCTTTTATTTTTTTGTAGTTATACTTGCAAACAGATGCTTGAACTCCTTTTACAATTATGTTATGTTCATAGAACTGAATAGCTATACCTGTCTTGTATTTGAGATTGACTACATATCTTTTTCACATTTATTTAAGCAAAGGTTACTTCTTGTAAATGCTTGTTATACCTTGCATGGTCCTCATATCATGTTGTGATGATGCTTAACAAGGTCATCAACATTGATTTTGTAGTTCTATAATTTTCTTAGTTTGGCTATAAACTTTAGTTACTCCTAGTTGGATTACAGAAGCTCGTTTCAATAACCATAGGTCTTATCTGAACAGCATTGTTATTGCATTTGTTATTGCAATGTCTTTTGGCCACACATTGTTATTGCATTTGGAGTTCGCTACATCTTGACATAAATAATGTTCTATTATTGTATTTTGAGTTTACGACATCTTGACATAAATATTTGTTCTCTAGATTTTGGTGAATAGGTTGTTCTTTATGCGTAAAAAATATGTTTATTTTTATAGTGTATCAATCATTTTTCATGAATTCACATCTTACAAATTGAGCAGTACCCTGCTGAAGTTAATGCTAATGCGGCTGAGGTTTTGATGGCCATTATTCGAAATACTCCTTCAGCTTTAGCAGCCAAACTTTCCAGTCAAAGGTTTCTGTCTTGTTATTTTATCCTCGACAGATGTGGTTGCTTTAACAGTGTTGTCCAAACTACTTTATCCATCTTGACCATGTTTTTCTTCACTCTGTTTGTATGCAGCTTTGTTGCAAGGATATTTGGCCATGCATTGGAAAATTCACCATCCAAATCTGCTCTTGTCCATACTCTATCTGTTTGCATCTCGTTGCTGGATCCCAAAAGATCTGCCTCGGCTGTTTCAGTTCATTACTTAAGAAGTCAGCATTTGCATGCACCACTTAGCCATGTAGATTCTGAAACTCTACAGGCCATGTTGACACAATTAGGTATGCAATTAAAGTTGTATTGTATCCTTTAGTTTCTGCAACTTATTTGAAAAGGATGAACTGGGCTTTTGCTTAATGACAATGAAGGTTGCAAGAGTACCACCTAGAAAGTCTGGCGTAGGCTTTGGGTCAAATTGGGAAGGAGTTCGTTGGATTTCCTATTTAAGGTCTTTTTTAGAATGAAATATGCCTCTAACAAGAAACTACCACAAGTGCAAACCACCCCCATTTTGAGTGCTTTGGTCTATCCCATATGGGTCAAATTGGGAAGATGTTGGTTGCAGGAGGAAGGGGGGAGGTAGGTAGGGGGAATTGTCGAGTATTGAGAAAGCTTAGGCAACAAGGTGATGGAGGTAGTTGTGTCAGAGGGAAAGGGGTGCTATTGGGGTTTGGGGAGGATGCAACGATGAAGGGGGAGGAGAGAGAGATACCTAGGAAGAGCTCATCGAAGGAAGACGTCGCTACCATTCGTCGATGGAGAGGAAGATGTCGATCACACTCTTTTGTTCCTCGATTAGGTTTCTGAAGGGGGTAGGGGCTCGTGTGTGTGCGCAAGGGAGAGGTTGCGGTGAAGAGGGTTTGATTTGGTTCGATTGAACTAGAATCAACTAATATGCTTGACCTGGACTTGATTTCAGTCAGGCGAGTGCTTGGCCAACTCGACTCTTGGGCTACACCCAATTGATGGTGCTCACTTGGACTAGTTATCATGTTGTCACAGATTTAGCTAAAATTGCCTAAATTGTGAGGCACTCTTGTGATATTCATCTGTAAAAGATTAGTCGAGAAGCAACCTCGTACAAGTCCCGAAGGACCTGCAACCTCGTATAGGTCTCGAAGGACTTGCAAAAGAGAAAGTTGATTACATTTCAGAAAATAAGTGGCAGACAAGTCTCGACGTCTCACAGTTGTTGCCTAGCAAACAAGCAATCTAGTAAACACTTAGAGAAAGAGAGCAAATACGGACTTTGGTAGGGAAAATGACAATCGAAAGTCCACAAATGGCAACTCAACAGGGAGCCGGGGTGTAAGGCAAGTCCACGCACATTTTGCATACAAACTTATGAATCCAATTATGAACCAACACTACCAAAAGCCCTATCTCGCCTTGTGCCACTTGTGGGTTATTGGGGTCTAATATGGACCACACCATAGGCTTGAGAAATCGGACCACGACACGTGAAAGCGAGGTAGTTTTGGGCCTGTTTTGCCTAGTTCGGTGAACGGGCGTTGTGCAGCCTTGCAAACTACCTAGGCTTATAAAAACCAAGAAAAATGACAAAAATTAGGCAAAACATAGTGCCAAACTATACAAGAAAATATTAGTGATGAACGGTTTTTTGACGAAGGTGTTGCAAGTGTACAATGGCCGTCTGTGACAAGGTGCCTAGGTGAACGCATGAGCGCCCCTTGACTTCATTGGGTACTATAGGTGGTACAGTTTTTAGGTCCATAGTTTATTATGATATCAAAAGGAGAAAGAAAAAAAGAAGGAAAAAGAAAAAGAACAGATGATACAACACCACACTAGACATACACCAAATGTTGAAGCATATTGTATCAACCCTTGCCCAAGAAAATCAATGGCCTTGCACTATAAATGATGGGGAACTTGCTTACTATTTCTTTCATGGACCTAACACTAATCTTCTCTAATGTTAATGACTTAAATCAAGAGTGCTATAATCAATCTTTTTATAGGCTTACAGTATTCCAGTAGTAATATAACTCGTAATTCTCCAGACCCTATGAAAAATCTATATCTTTAAAACATAATTCCTAGTGCTTTAGGCATCTTTTCAATTCATTATGTACCTAAAATGAAACTGGAACTTGGAACCTAGCTCAAAATATGCATCTACAAAAAATTTAAAATAGCACCCGAAAATAAGGACAATGAAATTTGAAGGTATATAAGAAACAAAAACTGAACTGTCATTCAACCAAAGTTTAGCTATTGTTTGGATTTCTGGTGAAGTAGGGGTTGTCATACTTAATATACCAAGTGTTATTGTCAAGTGATATTAGGATGGAAAAGGATATATGTTGAATTGCTAAAGTTAATGAAAGAAAGAGTTAGGATTTAGGTGACATTAGATGGATTAAGGATGTCGATAAAAAAATACGTATTGATAATAATAAAATTAAGGAAAATTAGAGAAATTATATTAATAAATTATCTGGTGAATGTTTGACAAATAACTTAGTTCTAAGATAGACTATAGTGGTAGATTTAATAATCATCGATTTGTTCATAAAATTAGAGCAAGTGAGGTTAAATAAGCCTTAATAAAATGAAAATAAATAGGAGTGTGGGACTTAATGATTTTCCTTTGTGGTTTGGTAGAACTTAAGAGTTCGAGGCAAAGTTTGGTTGATTAGCTTATTTAACAAAATTTTGTGTTTTAAAAATGTATAATGAATGGAGAAAGAATTTTTTAGTATTAATTTATAAGAATAATGATATCCAGAACGGTTCTAAATTCTAATTATAGAGGAATTAAGATTATGAGTCCATATTACAGAACTTTGGGAAAGAGTGAAAGTTGAGTAAGATATGAAAGGTATAGAGAGGAAGAAAGATTTGCATATGGTTTTTATTAGGTTAAAGAAGTCTTATAATAGAAGTTGAGTTTTAGAAAAGAAAAGGTGTATTGGAAACCATATGCCTTACAAATGCTAGGGGTGCGAGAAGAGGTGGAGGGCAATTTTAAAAGAATTTATTAGAAATTTATAAATAAAGATTTGAATACTCTTAATTTGACTAAGAATATGATCTTTTACGTGGTGCAAGGGCAGCAAAAGAGCCATGTAATTGACCCAAATAGTTGGGACATTACCATCTTATTGTTATCATACCAACATATTTGTACTGAGGGACGAAGTATCTCAAATCATCTTGTCTGCTCCAATGGAGCTATGAATTCACTCTCGGCTATGTTTATTAATTTTCATAATTCTATACATCATAGTAAAATATGAGGATTAAAGGAAGGAACTAGATATATGTTCATACATAAATGGAAGCAAACCGATACTAGTTTCATAAATGGTATGGTACTGGTGTATTTACCCCTAACGATTGGTATCACCAAAAAAATACTAGGTGATCTGTTTCATTTATCATTTTATGTAGTATTTAGTCCATACAATAGGGATAAATTTCTTTTATGTTTCCTTTTACATAGAGACAATCTCCCTATTGTATGTTTTCTTAATGCAGTTTTCCTACCTAACTAGGTTATGAAATATCCAATCCATATAAATACGGATAAGTTCCTTTTTTTGATGAGACATGGTTTCCTATTGTATAGTTTTTAATGCAGTTTTCTTACCCAACTTGGTTGATTCACTTGGCTACTCAATTTCCATTTATCAACTATAGCTCTTTTGATGAAATCCTATCAAATTGCATTACTGTGTTGATACTTCTGCGGCATCCAGATATGTTGCAGTCAATTTCTTTTCAAGCTCTCTCAAATTAGCCTTTATTACTGTTTAACACCGACGTTGAGAACTGCACGACATAACTTAATGTGCAGGCAAAAGCATGGCAAGTTCAAGGTTTAAGAAATTGTACCAGGGTAGGTGTTGAGAACATCAGGGGATCAGAGTTTCAAGTAACAATGAGGAAAAAAATATAATGCCAGAAATAAAAAACATTATAATTAACCCAAAAGCAATCCAAATTCTTCTTATTATTGGTATGTGCATAGTGATTTCATGATTGGTCAGCTCTAAAATTTTAAATTACTGGCCATTTGAATGTTAAAACACATTTAACGATATGTTCCTCTTTTAATTGAGGATAGAACATTTTGGATATATTAATTCAAGTAGGGTATGCTTGCCAACTGATTGAAAACTCTGCTATAGTAGGGAACTGACACCCTCTGACAGAATGATTATCCTCCTGCATCTTCTATATGATTGATTGCTCTCCTTGAGTTTTGATTTGGGCAATCGTAGATGGAAGTGTCAAATTATTATGAGCTGTGTTTTCTTTGTTGTCTCTTGTTGAAGGATATATAATCATATCTGTCACAGGTGTTTTACAAACTTTTAATATATCCTTGATAATGATCATGGTGGTTTTCTTGATCACCTTAACATCCTCTGGATATCTAGTCTTGCAACGGCATAAGACTACTAAAATTTAGTCAGCTTGAGAACTACTTGTGACGCTGCTATTTTTTTTCTAGTGTTTATGTAATTGTAAGTTATATTATTTTTTTTTATTACATGCACTTGCTATAATGACTTGTTTTACTATATTAAGAGCTTGTTTAAGTTACTTGATAATGGGTAAAGTTTTTTAACCAATTTTGTTCTGCAGATGACTTGCTCAAAGTGTTGAATGTATCATCTGATGTTACTACTCTTCCTACCACTTATGGTGGACTACATCCTCCACTTGGGAAGCATCGTCTTAAAGTATGCATAACTTTGCAGATTTATTTATTGATTTAAAGAAATGGGTAAAACTTGGAGCATGCTTGTGCTCTATTTATTGATTGATTGTGGGGTTATGAGTTTGTCCGAATTCCACCCCACTACCCATTAAAAAAAAATGAAACAGTTTTAGTTTAAGTTATACTATAGTTGACTTATGTGCATCTCATGTATCGGTATAAGAAATATACTTCTCTTGTATGTTCTTATACTTAGGTTTTAAAAGTTTAGAGACTTCTAGATTTCGTTGGTTTCTTCCTTTCCCGATGAAAGTTTGATGTTGGATTTTCAGGTAGTGGAGTTCATTTCGGTATTGCTAGAAGTTGGCTGTGAAGCTGCTGAGAGGGAATTGATTCGATCTGGTGCCATCCAGATAATCCTCGATCTCTTTTTTAGGTAAGCTGTACCTTCTGCAGTTTGGTAATGTCTGCATATTGCTTGTGCATTAATAATGTGGAAAATGCAGGTATCCCTTCAATAACTCACTACATCATCATGTAGAGAACTTGTTGATATCATGCCTTGAGAGCAAGAATATTGCAATTGTTGATCATTGCTTTTGCGAATGTGATATCATTGCTAAGTTTCTACAAGCAGACAAGAATCCTTTCTTTTCCATTGATTCTAATGCGGTAAAAATTATATTTAATGTGATTCATGTTGCTTTATCTTTTAATAAACAGATTAAATTTCTTTCCTCTTTTTCTGCTCTGTAGGTAACTGTTCCAGCCCCTGGAAGACAGCCAGTTCGGCGAGGAAATATTGGACATATTACAAGAATCTGTAACAAACTTGTGCAACTTGGAAGCAACAATGATCATATCTGGTCTTACCTACAGGTTGGTTGCTTTGTTGTATTGGTGTATAAGATAACTCAATTCTGATCATTTATCTTCTAGGCCAAGGATTAAAATCTCAATTTGGTACCTATTTTGATCCGACTGATACTGCTAGTGAGTGTGGTATGAATCGAATCATTACAATATTACAAGCATAGAGGAGAGATATGAATGTTGAAAGGCGGAGGAGTGAAGAATGGTGTCGGGAAGGGGTGCCTGTGGGTGGGGGAGCAGAGTGGAAAGGCATAGTGGTGAAGACAGTTGGCTAGGGTGGGGAAATGACAGTGGAGGGGGGTTAGCAAGGGCGGGGGTGCTAAGGCAGCAGCGCGTGAGAAGAGCGAAGTAGAGGACCTGGGGCTCGGTCTTGGATGATAGGATTACTGAGCCTTACCATCTGGTATAGGTTTCCATTGTTCAGTTTACCGTCCAGTAAGCCAGTATGTAAAGCTTACTGAGCAGAAAGCTTGGTATTGGACCAAATTGGATGATGCCATCCAGTCCATATACAGATCAGCCATTCGACTGGTAAATTATGGGTCCCTACTGAATGATACAATTGGTTTTTAATTTGTTTAGGCATGCAACTATATTTTGTGCATTTTGTTATTTCAACTTGTGCAACATATGGTAACCATTTTGAGCAAACAAAACTTCTTTCTTTTTTTTTATTGGAAGATGGTTATGAATATTGGAATAATTTCTAGTGTTTTGGCATTACTCTGAAGCTTTGAACAGTGCATTGAGATCTGTTGTCTCTGTCAAGAATTTGTGTCATGGCATGTGGTGTGGTGTGCTGACACTAAATGATGCTGCACCATGCTGGTTGACATGCCAGCATAGGTAACAAATCAGCTTGTAGCCACATGTGGGTACCTCTAACATGGATGGACATGTTGCATTCTGGTACCTTTTTTGACATTTAATCATGTTGATCCATGGCCATCCATAAATAGTTGGGACTAGTCCTGGTGTATTTATTTCATGTAATGGCAGACTGAAATCTGAAAAGCAACAAGTTCCCTTTATTAGGCAATTTAGGGAATATGGATGCTGCATGATTTAATTAAACCTAATCTTTCTTTGGCTACACCAATAGCTTGGGATCAAGTTGTGACCAGTCGGAGACCATTAAAATGCTGATTCTCTTTATTATTAGTATTTAGATATGCTAACACGTGCATTAAAATTAGAACACAGGCCAAGTTTTTGAGTAAGGGAATAGAGAAAAACTCTGAGGAAACATAAAAGAAAGGAAAATCCAATACTAAGAAGGTAAAAAGGAGAGAAGGGTTAGAGGTTTAGAATCTTTAGTCCACCAAGAAAAGTTCTCTTACACAACTGAACTTTAATCTAGATTTTAATGATTGTGTATCAGTATTAATGACTCCAGTCTGGTATGTATCTAGAGCAGAGCTGTACCTTCTACTAAAAAGAGTACTTACGATTATAAAAATTCTCTTACATAACTGGACTTCAATCTAGATCTTTCTGATCTTGTATCTCAGTATTAAATACTCCATCTAATCTGTACCTAAAATAACTTGTACATGCTACTCAAAAGAGGGCTTAGGATTATGTATCTAAAGAACATATCGATGGTAGTTGTATCACCAATATGGTTCATATTGTCACCTAAACCTAATATTATCCAACCTGATTTCAATTAGTTTTAGCTTTCATATCACTTCCATTGCATTCATTTACACACTTGTGAATAGATGCCACTTGAACTAAGTCATGGTTTCATCTTGATCAAAACACTAGTCACGTCTTTCAATTCCTTGTTGATATGTGATAAACTACTTGTTCATTTTTATTTTCCAAATTTATGGAGAATGTTCAATGCTGTGGAGTCTGGGACTATGAATTTGAGTACGGGGCTTAGGACTGGATGTTTTTTATCAAGAAAGAAATTACTTTTTCTCGGTTACATCATAACATGGATTTTTTTGGCAATTATAGCATTTATATGAAGCAATTCTTCTATGATTTTATCTTCTACAATTTTCTCACTAAAGTTTTTAACTTCAGAATCTTGATCTATTCCATATCCTAATAAATGACAATATCAATCTTTGGATTTTCTTTAGGTTCTTGATGCTTATTTTATCATCAAGATATCCAGTAGACTGAATCTATCATGCATACTTTCATCCTGGCCACACCTATCATTCAATGTTTCTTCATGACTATGAATCATAATATGGCATTGCTTGCCTAATTCACCTAAGCAATCTGACAATTGGAGGCCTCTAGTTGGATCTTTTGGTTTTGATAACAAAATATTGATACAATTTCATTTTCTGGAGGATAAGATGGACCTCTAGGGTGAGAAAGATTGATTTGTGACATTCGATGAATTTTAGCAGTATTGAAGAGATTTACATGACCTGAAAATTTGATTTATATCAAAATGTTGCTAGAGAGCATACAGATAAAGACAATAGTAGGGAGGAGAAAAAGAAATAATACAAAAGGGAAGACTATAGTAAGAGAGGTGACAACCAGCAACTTTTAAAAAGGATGGCATCAGATACACATTTTAGAATAAACATGAAAATTTTATGAGCTAATATGGTCCAAATGACAATTCTATTATTGGCTGACTCAATTGCAAATATAACTTGGTCTCATTCTATGTGAACCTTTAGTTGTGATAAAATTCTGAAATTCCAATGAGGTGTCTCTCGGGGAATATGGTGGCCATGCTCAATTTCTAGGGAGTGAATTATGCCAATTAATATTTGAACATGACAAATGTCCATCTAAGATCCGGTTTGTCTCATATGGCCTCCTAGATATGAGAACACTAAGATTGATCTCGTGATCCAAATGACCCACCAGCCAAGTAACTTGTGTGGTGCAGAGCTAGCTGCATATAAAAATTGGTTAAGCCAAAGTATTAGTGGATAGTCAAGGAAAACATCCTGATTGTGTTCCAATGCATTTGATTAAATTTGCTTAATGAGGGGTTAATGTGAGACCAGCTTAATGTATATAACATTTTAATAAATTTTATTAGTTTAGGGTATATTTCATAAATGTTACAACTTACAAGTTGCCACATGACAACATGTACAATGATTTTACTTATTACTTTAGTTACCTAGATTGTTGAAAAGAAGAAAAAGGAAGCAAGGTGAATAGCTTTCAATAGAGCTTGCTAAAGGCTCAACTTCTATTCAAGATATTACAAACTTAGAAGGCTCAACTGACGTTCAAGGATCGCCTAAAATTGCAATCTTTTGTGAAGTTCCTATACAGTGGTGATGAGAACTTATATCATCAAGTGTATAACGTAACTAGAATCTAATTTTCATTATATTGGATGTAGAGGGACCTATAAGTTAGATCTATATATTCTCAAATTTAGGTCTCAAATAACAGTGGTATAATGTTAGTAATCAAATAATAGTGGTATAATGTTAGTAATCAGTGATTTAAAAAGGCCCTTGGGTGCTCGCTTAGGCGCTCGGGCGAGGCGAGGCGAGGCGAGGCGAGGCCCGAGCGCCTCGCTAAACTTCCAGGCGGCGCGCTTCAAAGAGGCGCCGCCTGGGTGCTCGCCCGAGCCTAGGCGCTGGGCGCTTCGGGCGAGCGCCTAGGTTAAACCAGGCGACCGAACCAGGATTTTAGGTCTGGTTCGGTCTCCGGTGGTTAGTTGGTTCAATCGAACCAACTAAAACCGATATCAGCTGTCGCTGCCCAACCCTAACCCTGCTCGTTGTCGCTCCCGCTGCTCGTTGCTGTTGTTGCTCGTAACCGTTGCCGTTATCGCCGCTCGCCGCTCCTGCTCCTGTTCTTGCTCCCGCTGCTCGCCGTTGCCACTACCGCTGTCGCTGCTCGCCGCTCGCCGCTCCCGCTCCCGTTGCCTCCTTACACTCCCGCTGCCGCTGCCTCCTTACACTCCCACTCCCGCTCCCGCTGCCGTTGCGTCCTTACACTCCCGCTGCCTCCTTACATTCCCTCTCCCGCTGCCGCTGCCTCCTTACACTCCTGCTACCGTTGCCTCCTTACATTCTTGCTCCCGCTGTTGCTGCCTCATTACACTCCCATTGCCGCTGTCGCTTCCTCTTTTCTCAGTCAGCACCCCCTTACACTCTTCCTTCTTCTCCTTTTGTATACTGTTAACAGTATACTGTCAACTGTTAATATTGTTAGGTTTATTTGAAATTATTAATTTTGATATTATGATTTTGTATCTTAGATTTTTTTAATTTAATAACATATTTTTATTTAAAATTTTAAATAATTATATTTATTAATTATATTATATATTTTTATATTTTAGCGCCTTGCTTCGCTTGGGCGAGCGCCTAGCGTCTCGGGCGTTTTTGGACCTTAGCGCTTTTTGGCGCCTAGCGCTTTTTAAATCACTGTTAGTAATTAAGGAGCTTGTTTACATGGTCAAATGTCACGTCCTTACTTGGGATCGCCTAGGGCGTGTGGTATCCAATTCATATTCCTCGATCAACCTAGATGTGAACCTCGTGCAGTTCATAAAGGACCTGCATTGAAAAGAAAATGTTATAAAGGTGAACATGCAGGTAATATGTTGTCGTCGTGCATGAGAAGAGCAAGATAACTAAGATTGCAAGCAACATAAAGCAACCATCTTTTATCAGACAAAAGTTAGACTCTTGTAAATGGGTTGAATGGTCGCACACACACAGGATGTTTCGAAGTAGGTGCAAGTCTAATGTTTACTTGACACTTCTGTTGAATAGATAGCGAGAATACTAAAGACATTGTGCCACCTCTCAGACATATAATCAAGGCTCCATCTAACCCAGTGCCACCCAAGGGGTTCTAGGGTGCTAAGACAGCCAAAGTTTCACGTTGCAAGGCCATCAACCAAAAATATGCACGACACATGAGAATGGGGCTGTTTTGGTTATTTCCCCATTCGCATGACATTGCATGACCAAAAACATTATTTAGTTTTACAAGATGAAATAAATAATAAAAACACTGATAACAAATCAAAATAAGGTTGATAGTAGTATTTCTTGCCTACGAGCTAATTGAAAATATTGAAAATGACTTACATCTTGCAAAGTATTTCCCTATACAAGCTTATGAGAAAACACTTGAAAATAATCGAAAAGCAACAAAAAATGATAATCGAAAAACATCATGGACTTTCATAACATTTTGACTACATCGCTCTAATATTCTCCCCCACTTATTCTTTCGATGCCTTGATTGAAGCCTTTGCAAATGTTGTAACTCGTGATTACCGTTGAGTTGTTGACCTTGATCTGCCTACTTTATTGCAACTTGCCACTAAACTGGTTCAACAGGGGAAGTTGGCTGAGTTGGAACACGGAATCTGTTTGAACCAATGATTCTACATATCCAATAAAATTTGATTTACTATCCTAACTCTAGTTCACTGTGTAGTGTACTTTGTATTAGAAGACCTAATTTTTCTCCATTTTACTAATGGATTATACCAAACATTATTCATATTATACCAAATTGAAAGAGTGAAATAATATCAAAATTAAAGATAAATTACATAGATCATCAATCCAATAATATATGAGAAAGCTAGAAGAAAATAAATCACACTCTTTGTATATATTCATGGAGAAAACAAAATTCTTCACCATGTGAGATCAATTATAATCACTCTTGTGTTAACCCCAACTCAAACACAAATCCTCTTGTACACTCTCATATAAACCCCAAAGAATTTTTTCCATTTTTTTTCCTCCACCTCTAGACTCATTGAAGAGAAACTTAAAAGCACTTAAAGTATCTCCTCATGTCTTGCTCCTTGCCAAAACATGAGATATTTTAAAATAACCAAACCTTTAAGATTCTCCATGAATCCAAAAATACTTATCAACCCCAACAATAAGGATATCCCATCGTTGAGTAAATGGGATCAATTCTTTAGTCTTTGTATCTATGTGCCTTTAGAATCTCCATACTTCTTATTCTATTATCTTTTATTATATTCTAATAAAAAGATTCATTAAACATAACACATTTTTAATGCTTTCTGTATTGCATATCTTATTTGCTTTTTTATTTTTTATTGGATGTAATTAGGCATCTATATTCATTATAATTGCCACTAAATGTTAATAAGTAATTACTGCCATCTCAATCTAAATCTTATTTTTTGATGTGATTAATGAGTTTCCTTTCAATGCCCACTCATTTGGATCAATTTAGGTCCTTTTGGACACATAAGAACACTCATGAATTTCATTTTATTCATTTTCGAATCTATTTAAAACAATATTAAAATCTGATTTAAATGAGTTGGATATGCATGAGTATTCCAAAATCTCTCTCTCTCTCTGTATACATATATTTATGTATATATATACATATATACACACACACATATGCACATATATACACACACACACATGTTATATAACGATAACAACTAACTAATTACCAAAGTACTCAAACTTGTTCATGTCTAACTTGTCTTAAATCCTATAATAAATTTAGCTTAGTCGGGTCGGATGAACATGATAACTATTAAAATGGAAAATAACTTTCAAAAGTTGGGATTAAGTTGGGCCTTTAGAGATCGTACTCAACCAAAATTCAAGTTGGGATTTTGGGTTATCGAGCCTAAATCAGGTTCAAATTTCAAACCCCACCATCATTTAATGAGATTCCATTTTCTTACAAAAACAAAGTAAGAAACCAAACTTTCTTTTATATTACTCGGAGGACAAGCCGTAGTCAGCCCCACCCGCACCCCCCCCCTCCCCCCCCTGCTCTCTTCTCTTCGTGAGCTCGCCAAAGTCTTAACCCGGTGCCACCCCTCGGATGTGTAACCAATGCCCCATCTGGCTTAGTGCCACCTAGTGGTTCCAGGATTCTGAGACAGAGACAGTTGATGTTTTGTCACAAGGTTGTCAGCCAGAGATCAGTTTGTGGCACATGAGAATGAGGTGGTTTTGGTTATTTTTCCCCTTTGAGCGATGCCGTATAGCCAAAAACGTTTTTAATGTTACAAGACAAACAAATATAAAAACATTGACAACAAATTAAAATAGGACTGCCTACCAGAAAACACTCGAAAACACCAAAAAAATAATGGAAAACAACAATCGAGAAATGTCATGGACATACTTCAAACACCTTAACTGCATCGCTCAATATTAGTCATCGAGGAGCTTGTTTACATGGTTCCAAGTGTCCTCAATCTATTGTAAGTCTTACAAGATCACAGGGCAGTTTATTTAGATTAATAAAAATATTGTGCACCACCTATTCTTTATTCTGTTCTCATGTGGGAGTTCATGTTGGAGCTGGAGATTTTATAGTTTCTTTTCTGGAAAGCAGAAAGGGTTGGGCCACCAGCCCTTTTGGTCTTTATTCTCTGGTTCTTTCTTCTACTTATTACTCTTTTGCTTTCTTTCATTGTTTCTCTGTTGTAACCTTTTCAATGGATTCTGTTGGATTGACATGTAAAACACCATAAGCTCATGTCTTGTTGATAATCCAGCACATTGAGGAAGAAGATAGCAGAAGTCATATTTTGGTAAAAAGAGAACAAGATGTTCCACTAGAATTTAATGATCATCTCCATGACCTCTATTTGTTATGTAAAATTTTATAGTATGAAATTGCAAGAATTTAAAATGGAGATGTAGACACTTCTAGTGACATTGCAGAATGGAGGAATACCCTAGGGCATTTTTTGGTTGGATTGTGAGTCTATAGCTTCTAGTTGCATTAGGTCACCCTAGGTAGAAGGGTGCAGTTAGCTATTGAGTAATTTGTGAGAGCTCCTATTTCTGAGGATGATTCAGGATACCAATGAGATTGTGGTATGTGGTAGAGATGGAAAACCTTATGGAGCAAATTCTTTCCTTTGACTGCTAATCATATTTGATGTCTAGTTTGACTATGCACAACAAAATTTCTATGGATAAGTGCATTAAGATTTATTAACCTGTGAATTGTGATACAGCCCTGCTGAGATTATTGTTTGAAATGACGACTAAATTTAGGACACTTGGAAGTAGTCTTCTATAAAGATAGTCATGTCTATGAGATAAAGATTTGGCAGTTCTTTTGTTGAGAAAATATAAATTGTAAGCCTCAGGCTGCAAGCCTTTCTTGCTTGACTGTTCTTCTGTTGTCTTACACTTGTCCCTTTCTGTTATGGTTACTTTATTATCAGACTCAAGGTTCGCTGTACTATAGTGTACCGCTCGATATGGGTGGTATATGTCAGTCCGATAGGGGACCAGTATGGGTGGTACATACATGTGTTAGTATATCGGTATGGTTTGGTACATTCCATATCGATGGTTGGTCAGCACACTGGTATGGACAGGTAAGGCAAACCATGACCAGAAGTATTGCTACAGGAGATCTGTTTTCTCATAGGTTATAAATGGTTTTATCAGCACTCTTTTCTGCTTGTATCTGATATCTTCTTGCCGAGATCCTTCTCAGTTGGATCCAAACGTATCATATTTACTCTGCACATGTTGAGCATCATTAGATTATGAAGGATACACCATAGACCTAAGTTGACTCGAGAAAAAAACAAAAATGATACTTGAAGAGGTGACCTTTTCCACAACTGAAGACTTGTTTCAACCTATTAGTTACTGACCTGTTTGTGTCAGCAGCGGACTTCTTCCAGTTCAAATTCTTTTATATGCATCAATATTTATTCTTACAAACAAGCAGCTTATTTCTCATTAGTTCCAATGATTACTTGATAAGCCTTGTTCACTTCAGCATTCAAAGATCTCGTTATTATTGTTATTATTCTACAGAAAAATATTTTTTAGATATTTAACCTCTTTGGATATTAAAATATAATGGAAGCTGCATGAATGAAAATGTTGAGATGATAGTATGTACTATCAAGAAAGATACAGCTAGATGAAATTTTCATATGAAAAATGCAATGGACTCAATAGTCCCAAATTTATGGAGGCTTCTCTAAGATGTTCAATTGAAAAATGCAAAGGCTTCTGTGAGGAGAGGTGTAGTATCATTGTGCCTAACTAGGATGTACCTAGTTAAGGCCTATAATCTGAGGTAGGACAGAGATATTGGCATCAAGAGAGGTGATAGGAGCAAATCACGGGAAGGCTAAATGTGCTGGCTCCCAGATATTGCATAATTCATGATTTGATTGTCTTTACTGTAAATATTTTTTCATGTATAAGATTCACAACAGTTATTAACTGTTTGTCCGCTCTATTTTTGGTTTATTTAATAGGAATCCGAGGAATGGATTGATTGGCAAACAAATGTGCTGCGTGAACGGAATGCGGTGGAAAATGTTCATCATTGGGCCTGTGGGTGAGCATCATTCTGTAATGAAAAATGCTTTTCTGATGGTTGATAAAGTGTTAAATTGATGATAATTGTGGTTAACTAACATATCAGAAGAGGACTTCGAACGTCTAAAGCTGAATTAGCCTCACAATTCAATGACACGTTAACCTTTTATCAATTTTACTTGTTAAAGAAAATTAAAGTTGCAAGATATCTCCTGCTGAATCATGCTTTCATATGCCTGGATATTTTTTAAACATGTTCTATTTGTGTAGTCGGCCTACATCGCTACAGGAAAGACCAAGAGATAGTGACGAGGAAGAGCTTCATGATAGAGATTATGACATTGCTGCCTTAGCAAACAATCTAAGCCAAGCATTTCGATATCGAGTCTATGAGAATGATGACATGGATGAGGTAAATAGTAAGATTAGATGTAGCATACCTTTGAGTTAAGACTTAAGAGCAGTCTTTGGTTTCTGGTTGTCTCTATTTAAACAATGATAAAGTAGTTTTGTTTTCCAGCCCATGTTTCTCTTAATCGAGATAATGAGTTATATGTAATGTATGTTTCCTTCTGTCATACATCTAGTTTATATTGGTTTTCTTAACCCTTTCCTTTTCCAAAGGGAGAAAAAAGCACTATACTATATCTTGAAATGGTGCTGGTGATTTCTCATTATGTCAAACTAAAACATCACATAATATACTATAGCTGGAAGTCAGTTATGTAAATGGTGTTGTATATTGCATACTGAAAGTATACAAAACATTTTGACTAGGTTTTATTCTAAGAGGTCAAACAGATTTTTCCTTTGAAGAAGGATCTTACTGTAATTTAAGTTGTAGGTAGAGATTCTTTAAGGTTGAATATGAATGTTTTGCTGGTGGACAATAACAGAAATGCATTTTTCTGGGCATAAATTAGTTGCAGTTATATACTTTTGCTACAAGACATTAGTTGTAGTTATGTTAGCATAATGTGGTATTGAACAGTTAGTGCCATAGATTGCTTATGTTAACACAATGTTTACCGTAAGCAAAATGCCTAGAATCATTGCAAAAAAAAGGCCCAGAATAATCAAATGGCTTTGAACATTTAAGTGCATATTGCACAACATTTGTAAAAGGCTTTTTCTATGTTGTATCTTTTAAGGATCATTTGTCCAATATCATAAAATCATAGTAAAACTTGATCCTATTTTTGCTCTTTGGTGTAGGTGACGTCTAGTACACTTGATTGACAACTATAAGTAAATGACTCCTTTTTTAAATTCCCAACTAATTAAGCTCTTGTCAGATTTCCATCTTACAAGAACTCTTGGGTTTTGTTTTGTTTTACTTGTCAAATTCTATTATTCTTTCATTTGCCGAGCTAAGATTTCATGCCTTACGAGTTTTAATGCTATCTTGATGTAATCTACAACAGAAGAGTATTGTAATTTTGTTGTACCATGTTTTGTTGTACATTAAAGAAATAATAGCTTTGTTACTACAAGAATGTGTATCATAGAAAGTTATTGAGGGAGCATTTTTTTGTCACATTTATATAATCTTGATCTACTCAAACAATAATTGCAGGATGTATACTTAGATGAAGTATCTACTGGAGTCGTCATTTCTTCTTTGAGGCTTGGGGGTGATAATCAGAGGTGCACAATCATCTAAGCTGTGCTCTTTCTTTTGTACCATGATTTTTGGTTGACTTTTCTTCTCTTCTTTTATATCACAGTTGTCTTTTCACAAACTCCAACTGGTTTGCATTTGATGATGAAAGTGCCACAGAGCCTACGAATGTCACAACCCTTGAAAGGATGGATGATGTCAATCTAAATGATACATCCAATGGTGGTGACAGCAGTGATGATGAGGTGGTGGTCGGAGTTGAGGAGTTCACCAAAGCTGAGATGCCCGAAAATGAGTATTCTGGTTCTGGTTCAGGTTTTATGGCTCACGTTACATCTAGAGAGGATGCATCTCTCAGTGAGCTGTCAACAGATGTGACAAAACTAAATGTTGCAGATGATGTGAGCCTTTTCCGATTTGATACAGATGAGAATGATGATCTCTTTGGTGATCAACAGCTGCCTGAATGGGTAGGTTGGCGTGAAGCTTCAGATATTCAGGTGGATGGATCTACTGATGTTTCAACTCAATCAAACTCCACAGAAACTGCTGTAAGCACAGCATCAGTTAGCACTGTTGGTGAGCTTGCACTTGAGGGCACTGTGAGTGCATCAGAATCTGTTGAGTTGGCAAAAGCAGAAGAGACTACACCTTGTTTGTTTGAAGAGGATGCCGAGTTTGTTGGTGTAGATATTGAGGTAAGGAGAGCCATGAATGGAGAGGTTGGTGCAATCAAGAGGAACCTTGTCAAAGTTCCAGAACTACCCAAGCCCCATGAAGATGAAACTGCGAGGTTGGAGTTCAGCAAGAGTCATTGGCGCATGGAACCTGAGGTAGGCGTTGTTCAGGAATAGCAAGTTAATTGTATACAGTAGTATTCTCAGAGCAGTGGTACGTGTACAGTAGCATTTATTCAGAGGTGCAACTGGCAACATATGTACATGTACTGATATTATAATTGTCATACAGACCAGCCAGTCATGCCCTGTAACTTGTTCCCCCTATTATTTTCTCAACTGATATTACTGGTATTAGACACCTTAAATTTGCCCATTTGTCAAATGAAGTAGACTGTCAATCAGTAGTTTTTGAGATGCCTGTTACAGTCAGTTTGCATAGTTCCTGTTTGCATATACTCGACCTAAGATTTAAGTTGGTTTGCTGTTATCGTTCACGAGCAGAAGGTGGCTATGGGTGCTTGTTGCTCGAGTGGTCGCGGTGTTTCCAAGACAGGATAAGTGATGCGGTTTCTGTCCTTGAAAACTATATATCCTCTGAAAAAAATAACCAATCAAATTTGGTTCAATCGGGGCGGATCAGGTCGATGCATCACCGATCGATTGCAACTTATTATCTAGTGCGCTTAATAAAGAGCGCAATCAACGATGTCGTTTTGGAAATTGTTCAGGCATCCACGATGGCTGGGGTGATTGACCGCGAAGCTGATCGACCGAGCCCGACAGCCAGGTCAGCGCGGAAGGCTAGCGGAAGGCTACATAACTAAATCAACAATAACTAGTTCGCTCGCGCGCACGGTGGACGAGAGGAGAGTCTGATGGCCCTCACGCCGTCTTTGTCCTGCTCCTCATCGCCCTCTCTTCGGTTCTCCTTCCCATCGTCTCCTCTGCGCCAGAAAACGCTTCCTTTGTTCCTTCCTGGGGTTCGGAACAGCAACGGTTGCGGCACAGGAGGACTCTTCCAATGCTCGACAGGTATATAACTTACCGGTAATGCGTTCATCTTCCGCAATTCGGACTCAAAATTCTGCTTTTGTAGAAGATTGATCGGATTTTGACTTTCAGCTGTCTTGTATCTGTTGCAATTGGGTTTATTCCTATTGTCGGTTAAGTTGCACATCTTTTTTTTGCTTTTTGGTTCGTCATTATGATTTGAAACACAAACCCTAGGAGTAAGACCAAGTACAAGCAGCCAGACCTTCAGTTGGCATGCCGGCAAGCAATATCAAGCTTAAACAATAAAGCCAAAGATCAAAACCAACTAAAATAATAATATCAAGATATAACGTAGCACAACTCTCAATGGTTGAAGGAACCATCCATGGCCAAGCAAGCTAGAAGGTATTCACTATAAAAGATGAGATTACAACCTTCTCCCTAATATACGGATAAACAAGACACATTCTCTCTTGTAATAGAAAAAGCTAAAGAAGAGAAACTCACAAAAGGGAGGAACCAAATGAAGTAGAAGACTCTCTCGTCACTTCTCTCTTTTTTCTCTTTCCTTCTCTATTTCTCACTGCACTCTCCACTGGTTTGGATGGTTTTGAACGCTGCATCTCAGTGCCTTATATCGGCATAAGAGGAGGTCCTTCACGCCAACCGTGTGCGATGAAATGAGATTGCGTGGGTTGCAACCACCCTACACGTAGGTTTGCATGGGTTGTTGCAACCGCACGCAACCTCTCATCTCATCTTATCACCCCTTTTTATTTGTTTTATCTTATCACAGGGTAAATGTTAATGCTCCTACTAGTAACATTGTAACAAGCCCATATGATGCTAGATCAAAAGAAATACTGAGCGGGAGAAAAACATGCACAAATAGTAGACAAGAAGAAGATTAAGACTCGGTATAATGAAAAATTGGTAATTGAGTATTTTTGTCTCCTTCCTTTATCAAATTCTAAACATTGTTAAAGTTGGAATATAGTATTTTTCAACCAAGAAATAAATAGAAAATTCTCGTAAACAAACAGAACTGTTACTTGCTACTATTGTCAGAAAATTAGATTCCCAATCCATGAATTGTTCCTTCATGGGCTCCATTTATCGTCAATACAATGGATTTTGATGCTGAAAAATGGGGTCAGTCTTATTGTCAAATATATTGGGCTTGAATTTAGCTTTCCAGATCATGGTCACCATCTGAGAATGGCAAAATTTTGTTATCTAAGCAAGTTAGGTGAATATCAACAAATTAGACTTGAATGGCCTGATCTCTTGACCTTTTGGGTGGCCATTTCCAGTCTATACGTATGTTCTGAAGCAACTTTTCTCTTCTGGGGATAATCATAACAGAATAAGAAGAATATTCTTTATTGCATTGACAGACACATCATTATACTTCACATGTTTCAACTGTTGTGAAACAATCATTAGGCTTGTTTGGGTGCTCATGATCTCTTCATAGGCTATCCAAAAGTTACCCAGAAAGGTCAGATATACGTCAATTGTGTTGGTGACTAGAAAAATCCTAACCATTAAGTTGTCGAACCTTATGATGCATCAATATACTCCAGATCGATGCACGTCGTCTTTGAATTCCAAAGAGGTTTTAAGTTTCTGAAAAATATGGGATTGCAGTTTGGGGCATTAATTTTTTTTAAAAAAGATGCCAAATGCTTATAATTAACATTCTTTACCAAAAACTGATAGTTTTCCAGGCATGTTACAAGTCTACTTTCACTGATGTGAAGCAATTCTATATTTCATTTGCAATTTAAATTATTGTGACCAAAACATGGGTGTATGCAAATTAAAAGAAGTTTCTTTTTGAACGTTTGTTTTTCATTAAGATATGTTATGTATCTTATGACTATTATGTCAATATGGTACACTGTCTTTGGAAAAACTATTGGTTTGTTGAGGATGAGTTTAGGTGAACTGTAGCAACTAGAAGTGATTAAAGACTGGTACCATATGTGGATTGATGTGATGGCTTTTCCTGGGGGTGAGGAGATAAAGGCAGTGGAAGATGGGGAATAATTTTCCAACAATTGGTTATAAGATGATATTGTTATCAAGATTTTATTTCCTTTCTTTAAAACAGTCTCCATGAACACGACCTTGAATTCATCACATAAGTGGAAGATTGTCTCTGTTTCGAAGAGATTTGACTGATATTACTCTCTGATTATATTAGCAACTGTAGTTTGTTGTTTTGTTTATTTATTTATTTTTTATAAAGAATGAGAAAAGGGAAGAAATTGTAGTTCTTTATCAGGAAATTATAATGTGTACACAAAGCTTGATGGAAGAGAAATTTACATACTGCTCTCAATCCAGCATTCTAAATGGGTGATAATAAATGCAGAAATTTCCAAGAAATTACCTAATTGTAAGTATATTACAGTCAACTGCTAAAATGGGTGATCACTTTTCTTTTAATTTTTCGTTCTTTATTTTCTCCCCTCTTCCTCTCCCATTGTATTTTTAAAAAATAAGTTGGTTGTACAACTAGGGTTAGCTTGATATGGATGAGTAGCAGATTAAATTGAAGTTTGATAGATTTTCACCAAAGGCAACTGACTATAAGTATGACTTCATTTTGGAGAGTGGATGATGTAGGAAAGGATTTATTTTGTGGATCAAATTAGGATAGGTTATAGGTTATTGAATTTGCATGCGTTGCTCATCCCCTTCGAAGATGCCACCTATTGAATGTGGGTACTTAAAAATCTCTTGCCATATGTATTCTAAATACTAGCTGGATATGGTACTTGTTAGATTCACCTAAGTGTGCATTAGTTCCTCATACTATCTGATTTAGATAAAATATTAGAATCATCAAATACTTTTAGGATTTTGAGCAGAATTATGTTTTCCTTGAATGCGCTCATTTGACCAGATGGATATACTACTTAGATATATGTGTTTTTTCTATATTTATTTTTATAAAAATATTCAACTTTACTAGGGCAACTTTATAAAAATATTTTTATAAAAATATTCAATGGCATCAAAAGGTGATATTTAGTTGGAATTGCCTGAGTCGTGATATATCATTGCAATATCTGTCCACAAGGGGTCTGTCTAAAGGCGGCCTTCTAGAGGTCTTGAAGGACCTATAAAAGGGAAAGTTGATTAGATTTTGAAAATGAGTGATGGATAAATCCCACTCGGGGGTTCGAGGGTGCTAAGATGACTGATATTGATCCAGTACGATTTACTCGAGTTTGAGTGAACTCAAATTTGGCTCAACCGGAGTTCGAGTCGAACTCCAAATCAATCCCAATCCAACTAAACCAAACTCAAGCTCGAATGTGAGCTCAATGATCAGATTCAAGTCAGCTCAAGTCTCATTCAAGTTCAACTCAAATTGGATACCGATCAAAGATCAGTTCAACTCAACTAGAGTTTGAATCGAACTTTGGTTTGACATAAAGTGTGCGTAGACATGCCTTACACCCTGACACCCGGTTGAGTGGTCGTTTGTGGACTTGTGACTATCTTTTTCCCTTCCAGAGTTCTTGGTTTCCCTTGCTCTCTCTCTAAGTGTTTGTTGAATTGCTTGCTTGTTGCACCTTTCTGCGAGACGTCAGGACTTGTATGTGTTAAATCTCGGATTTTGATGATGAAACAATCGATAGAGTTTATGATCTAATCTATGTTTTGAGTGATGCAGGACTAGCTTCGATCATGAAGAGACAATTAAAGCAGGAAGAATCAATGTTTGACCGGAGTGGAACATGTCAGAAGATTGGACGTCGAGCCGGAGGATCGGTCGATATGTTGGCAGAAGGCTTCGTGCTATGAGTTCGGGCATCAGGCCTCAAAGCGCGGACATTGTGCCAAGGAGATCGGAGTTGCGGAAGTCAACATGTCGATTGGGCAAAAAACCGCAAAAGAGGACGATGCGGCGATGAACCAATGACATGCTGGAAAACATGTGATTAATGCTATGTAATAATTGTCTAGATCGAAATAGTTTTAAGTTGTAATTGGGTTGAAATTAGGCCAACTTAATTAGGGGGCCATTGGGCCAAAGTTAGGGCTGAGTTGGGCTGGATGGATGGCCCACTCGGCCACTTGGAGCCATGCCAGGCGGTGGCATCGCCTAGAGTGGGCGGTGTAACCGCTTGAGGCTCAGCCTCCCAGGAGGTCTGGGCGGTGGTACCACCGCCCAAAAATGGCTGTCAGGTGGTGGTACCGCCAAAGCCTGGTCTTCGAGGCTCTATCAAGCGGTGGTACTGTTAGGATTGAGTCGACACTAAGAGGTGGGGGGGTGAATTAGTGCTTTCGTTAAAATCACGATTTTGAAAAACCCTATCGGAAAGATGTTAATTTGAAAGCATACGGAAGCGTAGTGAATAAGTAAATAAAGCAGTTTGCAATGAAAGTAAAGAGCTTAAAGTAAATGCAAACCAAGTTTTATAATAGTTCGGTCATCGTGACCTACATCCACTCCCGATTCCTCTTCACTCGAGGCCACCGGCTTCCACTACCGATCTTCCTTTAATGGGCAAAGATCAACTATCCTTTTACACTCTTTCTCCTTTTGATAGGCTCAGGAGAGAACCTTTACAACCTCTCTTTCTTAGACCTCACTTATCCATTTAGAAGAACTTTCTAAATACTAGGAAGAAGGGACTTTAGAATCCTAAGAGAGATTACATAATTTTTCTCAAGTATTCTTTCCCCCCTTTCAACTCAATTTTCGTACTTAATTCTTGCATCTCCATGCAGGAATAGTTGGGGTATTTATAAACCCCAAATAACTTCAAAATTTGAGCCAAAAAAGGTTTAATCCTGGGTTTCCTGGGTCCTAGCGGTACCATCGCCTGCAGCACTGACATTGGGCGGTACCATCACCTAGTCTGGTAGTACTACCGCCTGACACAGTCTTGGAGACTGAGCCACTAGCGGTGCCACCGCCTGACCTAACTTTTGGGTCACTGAATGAGCCTTTCTCTTGGCTCAAAATAGCCACATTTTGGGCCCAGTTGGCCCCTAATTGAGTGGCACTAGGGGGG